CTCTCAGCCAATTAAATTACGCTGTTTGATCACATGACACCGTTAGCCAGCAGTGTGTCTCCTAAAAGAGAGCTGTTTAAAGGTGAGTGATTAAGTTTTTCTCCTAAATAGAGATCATTACAGAACGCCTAGTCCTACTTAAAATCCCATTTATTATTATTTTTTTTTATCATCTACTCGAACTAAGGAAAACGTTTGACTAACTCAAAGACAATTTCCACGCCTCCCCTGCCTGACTGCAGAGGCAGTTTTGAATTTAGGAGCGCCAAGATGGCAGCGGCAAACCCTGGCGGCTCTCCGGTGAGTATATATATATATATTTTTTTTATCTTCAAGTTTGTCTTTTGAAACCTTAATTTTATTTAAATCCGTTGCTCACGTATAAAGTACACAGATGGGGTCTTTGCTCAACTCGTCTGAGGCGTGTCTCACTAAGCGCTACATGCTAGCATCCTGCTAACCGAGCTACCCTTTACATGCTGTGCTTTAGAAAATAGGATACTCGTTAAAAAAAATACTCCGCAGATATCCGGTTGTTCAGTCTGACGTCACTAGCCGTGTCTGGGTCTAAACTCCGCTGCAGGTCCATATATCAAACGATCACTGTGGCATTACTGAGAGTTGAAAAACTGTCTAAAGTCTTTCATCTTTAATAAAATGATCAGCGTTCTGCTCTACCAGGTGTAACAATTGAGTTTAACATCCAGGCATCCATGAAAACGGAATTTATGACATTTAATGGAGTTAGAAGTTAGCAGGGAGTTAGCTCGCTAGCTTCTATCTAAATACAATATAGCATGTCCTGACTGCGGGGTTTTGGAAACAAATTAAAACATACAGCTCTGTTATCACTTCCAGCATAAATGAAGACAGAAAACTAAACAGCAGTGACGTTTGTAGGGTTACTGAAGTTGGGCTAGCTGGTATATAATGATGTGCTACGTGACCGCTAGCGACATAGCTATGTTAGCATAATATAAACAAGCTAACTTTTTTTTCCACTCGATAAAAGTTAACGTGAGTGTTCTCGGTGGTCAGAAACAAATGTAATCGCATGGCAGGATGCTGTAAAAGGACCAAACTTCAGCCAGGAGAACAACTGAGATAATCCATCCACAATACGAGGTTAGTCATTCATATACTGCTGCATGGGCTGGGCTGTAGTTACATCGTAAGGTTTTAAAAACTGAGCTTAAATAAATGATTAGCGGTAATAAAAGCCGAGGGAGGTCAACAGGGATCACTGACTGTTTTAGGAGCTTTTTGAGATCAAATAGAAGAAAATACATAACATTAAACATGTTAACAACACAAAAGCCATATTAAACGCAGACTACTTTAGACCCGGAAGTAGGATTCGTCGCGTCATCACTGAACAACCGGATAGATAGATAGACGAACACTGCAAATATAATGTTGGAAACGAGAACGGCCTTTAGTGAAGGGGTAAAATACACCATGAATAAAGCCATAGAGTGAATGGCTGCCATGGTTGCAGAACAGCCTGATTTAATGACAAGAATGGGGAAGAGTGAGGTGAAGTGAACCACAGCCACAAAACACGGTCAGACAAGGCGGCAAAAGGGCAGTGATCTGTCCGTCAGTATGAAGTTGGTGTGTGCTTTGGTGAACAAAAACTCCAGACTGGTAGCAGGAAGATGGGAGACTCGTGTTTCACTGGAATAGTGGTGAATTAAAACATCCTTTGTTGGGGACATTTCGGTGTAAATGCATCCATACAGGCAAGACAGAGGCAGACCAGACAGTGAAGAAAACAAGGCAAACATTAGAAATATAAAAACGGAAATATAGGATGAGTCGGGGATGAGTTCCTGCCCCAAGTGGAGGAGTTCAAGTATCTCGGGGTCTTGTTCGCGAGTGATGGGAGAAGGGAGCCGGAGATCGACAGACGGATTGGGGCTGCAGCTGCAGTAATGCGGACGCTGCACCGGTCCGTCGTGGTGAAGAGGGAGCTGAGTGTAAAAGCGAAGCTCTCAATTTACCGGTCGATCTACGTCCCTACCCTCACCTATGGCCTTTACATGACTAACGTCCCCTCTTCTCCCTACCTCACATTAGCCCCCATCTTTCTTCCAGGTGGAAAAGACCCGTCACCTTCTGGGAGTGGCGGCTCCCGTGGGAACAGCTCCCACCACCAAGTCCCTGAGTGAGTCTCTGTCCCCCAGCGTGAGCTCCAGCACTCTGTCCACGTCCACCTCCGCCTCCTCGCAGATCTCCAGCACCACCTTTGAAAGCGTGAGAAGGAGCTGGCCACCAAGGTGAGAAAAACGTGGGCTTAGTGGGCGTTCTTGTTGCTGCCTTCTTCCTTCTCTGCTCGGTCTTGTTCCTGTTGTGTTGTAGTGCCTGCGCCTTCTGACACACACCTTCAATACTGAATACAAGCAGCTGGTGAACAGCATCAGTGACTGCAAGGTGAGAAATAATACAAAGAAATAAAAAAATAGCCTTTCTGTGTCACATCAGGGAGTTCCTATATTGACGTCTACCTCATCCTGCTGTTGTTTCACTTCAGCTTTCTCTCATCTCACCGATCGGACGTGATCCATCCGTGACGAGCTTCAGCAGTGCCACCCTCACCCCTTCCTCTACCTGCCCCTCTCTCTCGGACTCGCGCTGTGGCTCCATGGGCCAGAAGTAAACATATTTTTAGGAACATTGACCTCGATCTGCAAACGGTTATTGACAGGTTATCCATTTGATTCTAACTTGGTGTGATTTGTGTTAAAGGACCCCTGAGAACAGCTCACGTGCCTCCAGTCCCTCCTGCTCAGACTGTGAAAACTTCCCGATGGTTCCCACTCTGGAGACCTCCTACCTTGCGCGGGCTGCAAAGAACGAGTTCCTGAACTTGGTGCCTGATATTGAAGAAATGCGACCAGGGTGAGTAATGCCATATTAACCCAAATACTGTCACTATGACATGTGTCTCACAGACCAAATGTAAGTCGACACTCATGTTCTCTAGTTCAAGCAGAAATGATGTGGATCGATTCAAATTCCTGAGCCTGGATGATTTCAGCTGGAAACAAACCAACTCTGCTTCTTCCTCAGATAATTCAATTCAATTTTATTTATATAGCGCCAAATCACAACAAAAGTCGCCTCAAGGCGCTTCATAGATACAGAGAAAAACCCAACAATCATATGACCCCCTATGAGCAAGCACTTTGGCGACAGTGGGAAGGAAAAACTCCCTTTTAACAGGAAGAAACCTCCAGCAGAACCAGGCTCAGGGAGGGGCGGGACCATCTTCTGCGACCGGTTGGGGTGAGAGAAGGAAGATGGGATAAAGACATGCTGTGGAAGAGAGACAGAGGTTAATAACAGATATGATTCAATGCAGAGAGGTCTATTAACACATAGTGAGTGAGAAAGGTGACTGGAAAGGAAAAACTCAATGCATCATGGGAATCCCCGGCAGCCTACGTCTATTGCAGCATAACTAAGGGAGGATTCAGGGTCACCTGGTCCAGCCCTAACTATATGCTTTAGCAAAAAGGAAAGTTTTAAGCCTAATCTTAAAAGTAGAGATAGTGTCTGTCTCCTGAATCCAAACTGGAAGCTGGTTCCACAGAAGAGGGGCCTGAAAACTGAAGGCTCTCCCTCCCATTCTACTTTTAAATACTCTAGGAACAACAAGTAGGCCTGCAGAGCGAGAGCGAAGTGCTCTAATAGGGTGATATGGTACTACAAGGTCATTAAGATAAGATGGGGCCTGATTATTTAAGACCTTGTATGTGAGGAGCAGGATTTTGAATTCAATTCTGGATTTAACAGGAGAAATCTGCTCTCTCTTTCTAGTCCCTGTCAGGACTCTTGCTGCAGCATTTTGGATTAGCTGAAGGCTTTTCAGTGAGTTTTTTGGACATCCTGATAATAATGAATTACAGTCGTCCAGCCTGGAAGTAATAAATGGTAAATGCCCTGTATTTATATAGCGCTTTACTAGTCCCTAAGGACCCCAAAGCGCTTTACATATCCAGTCATCCACCCATTCACACACACATTCACACAATAAATGCATGAACTAGTTTTTCAGCGTCACTCTGAGACAGGATATTTCTAATTTTAGAGATGTTGCGCAAATGGAAGAACGCAGTCTTACATATTTGTTTAATATGTGCGTTGAAGGACATGTCCTGGTCAAAAATGACCCCAAGGTTCCTCACAGCGTTACTGGAGGCCAAGGTAATGCCATCCAGAGTAAGAATCTGGTTAGATACCATATTTCTAAACTTTTCAGGGCCGAGTACAATAACCTCAGTTTGATCTGAATTAAGAAGCAGAAAGTTAGCGGCCATCCAGGTCTTTACGTCTTTAAGACATTCCTGCAGTGTAACTCATTGGTGTGTGTTATCTGGCTTCATGGACAGATAGAGCTGGGTGTCATCTGCATAGCAGTGAAAATTTATGCTATGTCTTCTAATGATGCTGCCTAGGGGAAACATGTATAATGTAAACAGAATTGGTCCTAGCACTGAACCCTGTGGAACTCCATAATTAACCTCAGTGTGTGAAGAGGACTCTCCATTTACATGCACAAATTGGAGTCTATTAGATAGATATGTCACAAACCAAACTGTACACTGGTAAACTGTTACAATAAAAAAGACCGTAATTTTCTTTACTCTTCTTTATTTATGTAACTTTTGTTTTCACTGGCAATTTAGTGTTAGGTTAGGACAAAAAACAAATTAGGAAGGTTAAAGACAGAACATTACTAGATTGTGGTTTTAATTAAAATGTAGCCTTTGACAATGCTGAACACATGAGAAGCTACTTTAAGGCATATCACCCAATTTGTAATATTGCTAAACATTTCTTAAGGCAGACGAGTCATGCTGGCTGGGTCAGTGTCATTTTTGTTGTAATTGATGTCTGGTTTGTTCTGTTCCCTAGTGATGGGTAGGGATGGGTACCAGTATCCGGTGTTCTGACATAATCCTTGAAATAGTAATAACACAGTATCCTCAGCAAAGATGAATTAAACAAGTTTTATTTTAATGGAAGTTTACTTCAAGTCTTCAGATTTTTACTGTCTTTTATTTGATTACTTTAAAGTATATGATTACATTAGAGTAATTAAATAAAGACAGTTTTGATGGAGCTCCTGAGCCAGCCCAAGCTCTCTATGAAGACGAGGAAAAACTCCCCTGGGGGGGCCAGACTGACGGGAAGAAACCTCGGGAAAGCCCATTCAAAGAGAGATCCCCTTTCCTGGGATGGCTGGGGGGGTTACAGGAATTCCAAAACACTGAAATTTAAAGTGGGCCAATTAAAAAAAATTATTTCCTGAAAAAAAGAAAGGTAATTCATACATCACACATAAATGATAACGTCTGAATTGTGTGTGTTTGTGTGTGTGTGTGATAGGCTTATCTCAGCCAAGTGTGATGCTGTAGCTCCTCCAGCGTCGGCCGCGTCTCCGGGACTTTGGTTAAACACGCGTCCAAGAAATCCCGGCAGTCTGGAAAGAAAGAAAAGAGAAAAAACATGAAGATGATAGTTCCAGTGGTCCAAGCCATCAGTCAGTCTTGAAGTGTGACGTTTTCTTACTTTTGGACAGATGTCTTTTGAATTTCAGGCGCTTTTTGAGGAAGCTCGTGGTGTTAAAGTCCCCGGCATGAAGCGCTTCGTACAGAACCACTCCCATTTGCCATACCGTGGTGGGTCCACACCTGTAGCAACTGCGCCCGTACCACTCGGGAGGGGAGTAAATTTCTGTACCTAATAAACAGACACAATTGCAATTTCTTCTAAAACAAAAGGCGAAAATTGTGACATCTGTGAAGAGCAAGAGCAGAATATGTTACCATAGAAGACGCGGTACTGCGACTGCTCCTTAACAAAGCAGCTCAGTCCAAAGTCGATGATACGAACACGCGGTACATCTGAGCCGGTCTCAATTAGAATGTTCTCACTCTTGATGTCCCGGTGAAAGATGTGTTTATCCTCCAGGTGCTTCGCAGCATCAACCAGCTGCTTCAGAATGACCTGGAAATAGAGCAGGGTGATATGACCAAAAATATTTATCACGATATACATTTGAAAAGTTGTGATAACGATATAACTGACGATATAACTGACACTAGACAAAATACTTTACAACTCCACAACTTTATTAGTGCAAAAAACCCCATAAATGTATTTTCACTTAAACAAGCAGCTGTTTTTTTATGTGCATTAAAGTTATATAAAAATGTAACAGTGCAAATGCAAATTCCTCGCTGACAGTTTAACCAAAAGGCATTTCCAGTGGAAATTGGCCAACATATCCTCAGCATAACCATGTAAAATATCCACAAAGCTTAAAAAGAGGTTATACACACACAATACGGTAATATCACGTTGAGGTGCAGTACGTATCACTCCGCGAGGCGCCTGCCTACGATAGCCGTAATGCTCCGACAATCCATCGAGCGGTGCGGCTTTGTAGCTTAGCAAAGTCGCCGTGTACATAAAATCGTTTTGAGGTCAGTAAACACAACCAGAATTCATACATAAGGCACACGGGATTATAAGGGGCACTGTCGAGTTTCAGAAAAATCAAAGGATTGATTTTAAGTGTGCCGTATTTTCCAAACAACACGGTAATAACGGCGGCCCGCTAGCATGCGCTACCAAAAATCGTGCTTTGTTGTGTATCTGACGGACGAAAGCTAAACCAGTTCCACACCACTAAAGTTGCAGCATTTTTACAAACCAGTTCTGGTTCATCCGTTTCATTCAACGATCCACTTTTGCTCTTCTCTTTCTGCGTCACCGCCATCTGCGTATGTAAACATAGGCACTGCGCATGCGCGTTTTACCTATTCTAGCGCGATATCTCATTTTCCTATCGTTGCCCAAAATTACACCGGTATTACCGTGAATGGTATGATATAGCCCAGCCCTACCTGGAAACGATGAAAAAGACAATAATCAATCAATGGGTTAATGTTTCTCTAATACTCTGTGCTTTGATTGAATGATGTACAGTCTAAGACTCTTCTAAGGCAAGTCAACTTGCCTTGGCCTTGTCCTCTGGCAAAAATCCTCCATTTTCTTCTATGTATTTATCCAGGTCCACAGCGGGGACAGGTCTCTCCATCACCAGGATCAGCTCTCTGCCAAAGTCAAACCACTCCAACAGAGACACTGGGGCTGATGTTTCCACTGATCCATCTGCTTCAGCTGCAAGCTTCAGCATGATGGCAACTTCCACTGACACATTCTTCCCGTTATCATCCTGAAATATTTCAACAAAGTGGATGATGAGGCACAGACGTTCCACAGGTGAACGCTGCATGCAATCCACTAATGTAAAAACAATTCAAGTCTTGCACATTTACCTTCACTTTGCAGTACACTTTCCCCTTTGGGATGTGTTTGATGGCCACCTAAAAGACACAGGGCATTGATGAGCATTTCCTCAGTATGACATCATTAAAGGTGTAAAACAGCATACATCTCAGCTTACGATATTATCCCTTATCTGCATTACTGCCTGTCTTACTACCACCATCTGAACACTTACTGGTAAATGATCCTTTATGCGGTAGCCAGCAAACACTGCTCCACAGCCTCCTTCTCCAAGCCGGTGCTCCTCCACGTATCTTGCTTGGAAGTCACCTAAACAGACAAACACAAATTGGGTTTTACTACAGCTGTCACACAAATTACTCTCTGCTGTACCCTAAATGTTCATTTTGCTCTTCACCTGAATATAAGTACCTGGGTATGTGTCAGCCAGTCTTACAGGACTAACACAACCATTCACACTCGCATTTCTGCATTCACACCTATGGGCAATTTAGTGTTTCCAATTAACCTGTCACCACTAACTGCATGTCTTAAAATGCAGTTAGTGGTGATGTCATTAAAATGAATGCAACTTGTCTGCGTTGTTAACTATCCCCAAACACGGCACCTGCTTCCTGAAATGCTCAGAGTAGCTCATCTGCAACCAGTAACCAGCCGTGCTCAAAGTCTTTTAAACGACTTTCCTCCCCATTCTGATGCTCTGTTTGAAATGTTGAGTTGCATTCATAATCAAGCTGTTAGCTGTGTGCCCAGCTTAAGCTAGCTACACATGTCTGTAGACATTGACCAGGGGTCAGCCTCATTATATCAGAGCTCTGCTGACAAAGCTGAAAGAGACGCAGCCTGTGACTTGAAATATGTGTCCAGCATAAACATGCAGGAGCGCTTTGGACAAACTTGATGAGCACTGTAAATAAGAAGTCCCACGTGAACTCGGGTTTCAGTCCAGTTTATTCCTGATTTGTGCTCACACAGCCATTTTAGAGTGTTGCATCATTAATGTGATGAGGCTTCACTTTGATAGCGTTAGGTGGACATCTGGTGAAACATACAGAGTTGTCATACTGAATCACTACTTACTGTTTTCCATTGAATTTAACGTACACAGCAAAGAGAAAAAAGCTTCATCGTGGACTCTCTTTGCAGTTTCACTTTGCAGAATCGCTGAATTTTCTATACATCATCTATATTAACTCAACTAGTGATCGGGGCATTTGTAGGCCTTTATTTCTTATTTCATCTGTTTGATCAGTACAAGTGTTCATTTTTAGTGTGAAACAGCTACTACATGTACTCTGAAATGTGCCACGTTAAAGTTAGTGCAGTATAGTGTTCACACATAGTCAACATGTTTCAGAAAAAAGCAATCTGCTGCTTTAGTTCACCAACTGGGCTTTTATTGTGAAACTCAAAGGATAACAAAGCCAGGTGTCATCCTCTTTCAATAATTTCAGATCAGGATCTTATGTTTAGGTCTAATGCATATTATCTGACAGACAAGTCTTTGTTTTATTTTGATTTTTACAAACAAGAGTGAATTTAAAAAATGAGCCAAAATGAACAAAGGAACATAAATTATGTTAGGAAAAGTCAACATACGTTGGTCTATTTTTTCTCCCTCGTGCTTCAGGGTTAACGTTCTCCTAACATCCCCACCATTCTCCCAAACTAATGAGAGGCTTTCTTGAGTGTAATTTATGATTTTATTGAATGTACTTGTTTTTGTAATGTGCGTTTGTGCAGATATTACAAGCGGCTGCAAACCCTTGTCAAAGACCCTCGACACGACTGCGTGCTGTTTGCCAATGAATTTCAGAAGTACTCTTACTGTCCACGAGAGAAGGGCGAGAGCCAGGAAAAATGGCAGACCAGGTCAGTGCTCATTATTTACCACACTCACTGAAGTGTACAGTCAAGTTGCTGCAGCACATGTAGCATAGAAATAGAGTCTATAGAGTCTTTTCCTTTCTCATTTTTTCCTCTTTGTCATGTTTTTTCTTCTACTTATACTTCTTTGACTTCATTTTGTTTTTCTGGGTCAAAGTGTGACGTTACATGTTTCACTAGGTGAAATTTGTAAATCTCATTAATTATAATGGAGATTATGCTAATAAAACATATTCAGTTCTTCAGTAAAGATGAAATACTTGCACCATGGGAAGTCCCCAATCTTGCCTATTGCAGCGTAACTAAGGGAGGATTCAGGGTCACTCAATCCAGCCCTAACTATAAATCAAAAAGGAAAGTTTTAATCCTAATCTTAATAGTGAGAGGGCGTCAGTCTCCCGTGTGCAAATAGGAAGCTGGTTCTACAAAAAAGGGCATGAAGGCTGATGCTCTGCCTCCCATTCTACTTTTGTAAACCCCACAAATAAGCCCGCAGCCTGAGAGTAAAGTGGGTGTGTAAAAGGGGTTTGATTATTCAAGACTTTTCTGTGTAAGAAGATTTTAAATTAAATTCTGGATTTAACAGGGAAGCCAGTATGGGAGAAATATGTTCTTTTGTTCTTGGACTGGATTAACTGAAGGTTTTTCAAATGATGCTTTTAGGACATCCTGATAATCATCCAATCACACAAAATGTCTTTGACTGCACCTGCTGACTACTTCTGCTCAGCAACTCTTGAAAGGAAATTGTGTTTCTAAAAATGTTAAGTCTCTGGGTTTAAAAAATATTTTGTGAAAGTGACATAAATGTATAGTTCACACGTGTGCAAAATTCATCTGGGAGATTTAAAAATGTAAACATTACATTTGAACTTTCTTTCAAATTGTGCAACAGGCCAGCGGTGCAGATGCATATGGCACTTAGAGCACACGTACTGGCTAAGATGTCAATCGAGCATTCATAGTGTTTTGTCCCAATAGGGGTTCAATGGGTAAAGGGGTCATTTTAACATTTTCAAAAATGTTTTTCCTCCACTTCAGGTAGAAAACAAGTGCAGGAACAAAGAAGTCAGGAGGACTTGTGAATGGCAGCTTAAAAGTGATTAATATTTATACCAGTTTAATAGAGAAAAGCACCAAAAGGATTTAATGAGTGTTTTTAATAATAGAGACTTGGTTGTAATGTTAATCACGATCTGACAAACTTTTATGTTGTGCCAACAAATGAAGCTAGAAGTGCAGTGTGTTCTCATGAAATGTGTTTATTATATAGATAAGGCACTCAATTATTTATTTTTTATATTCTTTCTGTGGAAGCACCATTTGAATTACAAGTAGTGTGAAATCATAACTTCCACCTACAAAACAGCAAAAACTTAGTGGGATATGTTAAAGATTATTGCTTTAGCGGGCAATTTGCTTTCATGCATCTTATGCTAAACTTGTGAGTTCATTTAATGTGTGTGTGTGTGTGTGTGTGTGTGTGTGTGTGTGTGTGTACTCAGCTGCAGTGTGGTACTACAACCACCTGGCAGGAATGATGAATATAGTGATGATCACTGAGGATCCTGAGGCCGTAGCTCAGTTCAGCAGCCTGACGTCTGGAGTGTACGTCATCTCCGTCCAGGTATATGAAATACCTTTATAATACCATCTACTCTATATCGGCTTCTTATATGTAGCCACCTTACAGGGATTTATCATCATGCATTTAGAGAAACACGTGGTTTGAACACCTAAAACTGAAAGTCAGCTCTTTGTGTTAAAGTCGTTGTGTTGGAGCCTATATGATGGAACAGTTGGTTGGTCTGTATTATTTCACTAATCTTCAGTGGGACTATTGTAGCATGTAGCAGGTATGGGTTTTTGAAACACTTACATTTTTGGCAGCAGTATTAGAACAGTCTCACTTAGAAGTGAAATTGGTGGTTGTTGTCAAACTTTCGGTCATTACACATGATTTCTTGGTTAAGTGACAAAATGTAAATATATGTGGCATTTAGTCTGTTTACATACGGAGAGCTGCACTTTGTTTTTCAATTCATGTCAGCCTAGCAAGCATGCTGTGGTTGTATAAAACACAGTGACAATGAGTCAGAAAACTATTAAACTAGTATGTAAATGAGAATTTCGCTAAAGGTGAAGGTCACAGCCTTGTTTGTAATTGCACTGATTGATCCGAGCTCTGTCAGAAAAAAACAGTTACACTTTTTACCTATTTGTCGATACACTGGTATCGCCATTTAAAATGGTCAATAAATGACAGTTAAAGTAAAGAAGAGAGGTTAGAAACAGCCTTTAGCCATGTTATGGGTATTGATATTATATGTTTGGCTTCACAGGTACTCTGCATCTTCCCTCTTGGCAACGTGTTTGGAACGCCGCAAACACGAGTCGGTCAGAGAGTAAACTCATTGCTCAATAAGGACTGATATCAAGTCTGATGTTTATTTAAAGGAAAAAGAGCAGTACATGCTAGTAGCCATGAAATTAATATTACAACGCTTTCTATTGTGATACATTTTTGATACATTGCTGCCAGATTTGTATATTTTTATCCAAACATACGTACCCGGGTATTTTTGAAAACGCAGATTTTTCTATGTGTTTGCGCCTTTCGTCCACACGTAAACGGCGTTTTCGGTCACTGAAAACAGAGATTTTCAACCAGAATTGGTAGAATTCATTTAAATTGGTTGGTTTCCTAAAACGGTCGTGGCGTTTAAGCACGGTCCAACAATTAACAACAGGGTTGAGGTTGTTGCTTTGGGAAGCCCATTCCAAAAACTCGCTTTATTTATTCTGAAACCAGTTCTTATATCTATTTAACTATTATTGTAATACTAATACTGAGGACGTCTAACTGTATCAAAAGGTTTAAGCATCTGGCTGTTGATTTGAGGTGAATTTGAAAGATTTTACTCTATTTCTCTTTCTCGAACCTGATAAGGTTAAGTGGAAGAGGATCCAAAACTTAGGCCCTTGAAGGGATGTTACTGGAACTAAGAAGGCCAACTGAAGTAATTTATTTCTTGACCTGTGTGTTTTTCCTTTGCCAGGATTATTTGCAAAGCTTCTGGTCAGATCTGCAGGCAGCCCATGAACTGTTTAGCTCCATTTCTCAGGCACAACAAGAGACAGAGGGCGACGATGGGGAGAAAGAGTTTCCCGAACATCTTCCCGCTGAAGTCCTGGAGGCTGGTATAAAGTCTGAACGTTACATTCAGGTAAAAATGTACCAACCTGTTGTTGGGTCTAACGCTCAAACCCCGCTGACTCAGCGCTTTCTTTTACTTGCTGCAAG